CCATGAGATAGAGAATCAGACAGCAAAGTAAAAGCTATTGGGTGTGTGGGAATTAAAATGAAAACTGGTCAAGTATTTGTGACTTGTCTAATTTCAGATTGTGACAAGACATGCCAAACTTGCTCATCTTCCACTTTCTGCACTACTTGTAGAGAAGGACTGTTGATGAGCCATCCTGGTCACTGCGAGACACCGTGCATCCTCAATGAGTATTATGACGAATATACAAAGACATGCAGGCCTTGTCACAGAAAGTGTTTGAGTTGTACAGGCTTTGCTGAAGATCATTGCCTCAGCTGTCTAAACAACTGGTATCTCCTCAGTAAGCATTTCCTAGCATTTAGCACATGCAGTACATGACCTGAATGTAGGGCTTCATGGATATTCAGAGTGGGCTTTTGTGGATGGGCTTCTCTGAGTCTTGTAAATACTGAGGAAAATTCAGTTTGCATAAGGCAGTCCGTTCAACAGAAAGGGATGGGTGAACCTGTACAAACTGGGGGAGCTCTATTTATTTATTTATTTAATTTCATTTATACCCAGCCCTCCCCGCACACGGGCTCAGGGCGGCTTACATAGGCACAAAGTGCAATAGAGGTAAAACAGGTTAAAAACAGTTAAAACTAATCCACATCCAACAGGATACATGAGAGACTATAAATACACACTCCCCATTGCATATCAGGAGGGGATCAGAAAAGGGGGGACGCTATGAAAAGAATACCTGGGTCTCAAACCATCTACCTTAGGGAACTTGCCAAAAGGCGGGTTTGTTGTTGTTCCAGAGGACTTTTCAACACCAAAGTCATTACCTTTTGCTTTGTTCGTTAGCACCATGTGGCCCTCAGCTAGGGTTGCCATCCCTCTGATGGGGTTGGGGTTTCCACTGCTTTCAGGGGCTCCAATCTAACACTGTCCATCTGGCCGGTGGGGGGAGCCCCACCCCCGAGCAGCCCCATCTGTGTCCAACATGCCTGATGCAATGACATCATCCAGAGGTGATGTCATCACACAGGGCACATCACATGGGGGATGCTCTAGCATTTGAGGGGGAACTGAGTTTTCCCCAAGTGCTAGAGCATCCCCCACACAACGTTCCGTGTGCAATGACATCATTTCGGAGTGATGTCATTGCAGCACATGCCAGCAAACTCCAGGAAGAAGACTGGAGCCCCCCACCAGAACACAGTAAAAACCTTGCAACCCTAGCCCCAGAATTCACTAGATTGCACCAGGCAGCTGGCCAAAGATTTCCACAGACTGTTGATTAGTCCTAACACAGTGAGAATCAGGAATGACTTACGAAAATAGAAAATGATAGTTATAATATGAACCAAGGTGTTGTAGAGACCAGAGCAGTCTTATGAAATCTGTGGCACTTAGGGAGTTTTGAGAACAGATAGTAGGCATCACAACAAAATGGCTAGTGAGACCAATTAAAAAATGGCTGCCATAGGGGTGGGGTCCAATCACAAAAACTGGGGACTTTGACAAATGTTAGCGGATTCTAGGTCAAGCATCCTGCTATGATGGAGGCCACTGCTACCAGCAGATGCAAAGGTAATAACTTTTTGTCTTTTTTAAAGCACATCCCCCTTCAGTGAAGTGGAGGAAAGCCAGGACTTGGCCTTTTCCTTTGGGAAACAACCAAGTGAGCACCAGAACATATATGGCTGGGCACCATGTCACCCACATGCGCCATGTTGATGTGTCACTGTATTGGGATTTCAAATCTCAGTCTAATCTATCACATGATTGTTGTGAAGAGCGTTTGGGGGAGGTATAGTCTGCAATGAGTTCCTAAGAAGAAGGGCAGGATAGATAATACAGGTTGGTGTTTCTATCCCAGAGGGGAAAGGGGATGTTGTATATGTACTATATCTGGTGTTAATGTCCACGCAGATACAACTTGCGTAGAAGTCTGTCCCAAAGGCTATTACATGGACAGAGATGAACATAAATGTTATCCTTGCCACAAGAGCTGTGAGACTTGCAATGGAAGACACAGCAGACAGTGCCTGTCTTGCCACCCAGGCTGGTACAAACAAGAAAATGGATGTGTACACACCTGTACAACTGGGTAAGGCCCAAGGATCTAAAATTAAAAAGCTATACTGAACATATTATTGATTGTAATATCTGAAAAAAATACCCTGGAATAACAAAAAATGTATGTAATAATCCTAGTAATTGGAAACCAAAAAAACTGGGGAAAGGATTGAATTATCCACAAATTCTACAGCCCTTTTAAAGAGAAAATTTACATTTAAGACCTGGAAATCATTAAGAACTATTGATCCCAGCAAAGTAGGAAATGTCTTAGCCAAAACGGGGAAACTGCATTCCTGAGTTCTCATTGCTACTCCCAAAACACACACCTCTGTCTCAGAGCCTCCTCTAAATCCTCACTCGTTTTTTATGATAGTTACTTGACTATAACAAAACACAAATAATGCTTAATAGCTGATAATATATATTTGAAAAGTGATCAGAGATAAATTAGTCTTTTCAGTGCAAATGTATGCTTCTTTTTTTGTCTGTTTCAGATATTATGCAAACAATGTCACTGGTTCTTGCGAGAAATGCCACAAAACTTGTAAGGAATGTGTAGGGCCTGA